CCAACTCCTCCTCCTCCTCCAACTCCTCCTCCTCCTCCTCCTCCTCCCCCTCCTCCTCCTCCTCCTTCTCCTCCTCCTCTTCCTCCTCCTCCTCCTTTTCCTCCTCCTCCGCCCCGAGCACTCTGTTCGAATCTCCTCCTCATCCTCCTTCCCCATAGATCCTGGAGCTCCTTCGAGCCTTCTCCGCCTCCTCCTCCTCCTCCTCCTCGATGCTCGAACCTCGGATCTGAGGGGAGGAGGAAGGGGAGGAAGAGAAGGCGGGGATGCAGGGCGAGACGCCGCGCCCCCGTGCGTGGCGGGCTCCGCGTCCTCGATACTCTTCTTGCCTGCGCAAAGAAGAGGAGGAGGAGGTGCAGGAGGAGGAGGAGGAGGAAGAGGAGGAGGAGGAGGAGGAGGGGGACCACGACGACGACGACGACGACGACGACGACGACGACGACGACGACGACGACGGCGATGACGACGACGACGACGACGACGACGACGACGACGACGACGACGACGACGGCGACGACGACGACGACGACCACGACGACAACAAGGAAGACGAGCACGCCGACGGCGCGAGCAGCGCACGTCGGAGAGCCCAGACGCCCAGACCATGCCCGCGTCGCGAACAAGACACGACGCAGATGACGGTTTTTGACGGTGTCCGGCCTCCAGTGGTACTCGCTGGGCCCAGAACTTGTTGGTCGACCCAAAAGGGGGTCCAGCTGCAAGGGGGTGGTGCAGTAGATTTGCGTCAAGTGTGTTGCAAATGTACTGCGCCAGAAAATTCGATTGCATCGTAACCCGGAGAAGCAATTAAGGAACCCCCCGGCGTTATCATTAGCACCGCGCCGTAATTAAATAATTATTTGGGGGGGTTTTCGCCGAGCGATATTATTAGCACCGCGCAAATGGAAGGAAAATAAATAATTCCAGCGCCCCGCCTCGGGTGGCATCCCAATTAGACTTGTAATGAGAATAAGAATACGAATACGAACTGGTGTACCCCCTCCTGGTGCCAGGATAACGCTTCCGGGTGCCGGGTGCGTTATCCTTTCACCGGAGAGGGGGGGGGGGGGTTCCTTAATCGCTTACTCGGGTTATTCCGACGAGTTCATTGCACGCGAAAAGCCAGCAACACATCTGCGCCCCGGAATGTATTGCACGCCCGCGATGCATTGCAACCCCACAAATCTATTGCACCAAATCTATTGCACCACCCCCTTGTCGCTGGACCCACTCTTGGGTCAACCCGAAGAACCCTCAAAACACGAATCGGGACGAGAAACCGGCCCCGGGGATAGGGACTTCCAGGAACTCCGTACTGAAGAGAGGAAGGCATCGGAGGTCTGGGAGGGGGGCTCTGGCGCAAGAGCAGTGCGAGGCTAGCATCAAGGAGGCCAGCAGAGGCCCCACAAGCTGGTCGCCACCTTCCAGTCCCTTGGGCTCACCACGGGCCCAGGGGCAACCAAAGGACGGCTCGCAATGGAGATGCAGACCGGGGCCCATCCCTGCCAACCCTATGGCGACGCGCAGCTGTGCAGCCATTGACCTCTCCAGGAGAGGGGACGGGACGATGTAGTGCACCGGGTAGGGGACTAAGGAAATAATATATGCGTTCCGGGCATCTGCCCCGCGTCCCGGGGAGTGGGCAAACAAAACAGGCATTCGCAGGTCTAAGGATGGGGGCTCTCCCCAGCTCCCCAAAGATGCCACGTGAAGTCGGCCAAGCTTGAAGCACAGTTATCATCGCTTTAGCCGTCGCATTAAGCATCTCCCTCGATTCAGGCACCGAGGCAACGTCAACTAAAAATGAGCAGCTCCCGACAGACTGCTCAGCGAGAACGTCCGTCCGGGAATTGCCCCCAATCTTCCATTGAGATTGCTTGCCTTCCATCATACTCGTCCTGGTGGGCTTTGACCTTGTAGGCACACCATCTGGCAGGAAGGCCGACCTGGTTGGTACGACGCCAATGGCCCGCCTGGGCCGTCCTCGGCCTCGAGGATCATATTATGGGCCCCGTAAGAATCCCTGAACTACAGCGCAATCGATGTAGAGATCCTGGACAGACGAACCAGGGGCGAGGTGCTCAACTGTATGCATAACTCCGTGATGCTCAGCAACCACCGCTGCCTGCGGCAGGCTGTTAGGAACGCTGCCCCTCATGCCTCTCACTGAATTTCCATCATTTTCGATTTCAACTGCTGCCAAGCCTCCGCTGGCCAGGATGTCGCACTTCGGCGCAGTGACAGAAATCTCATTACACATCTGGACATTAACCTGGAACAGACAGGGGTCAGTGGGGCCCGAGGTGCCGTTGAGTTGAAATATCAAAGCCCCAATGGTACAAGGATGCGGCGGTGGTGATGGAGCGGCAGAAAATATTCCCACTAAACTTCGACCTGCATCCTCCAACTTCATGGATCCCAGGAAACTCCGAATAGGTTCAACCCAGAGGTCCATTTCGAGAATCTCTTTAGCCCGAGAATGGAGTATCCCCTTGAAGTGCTTCTCCATGGCTTCCCGGAAATACTCTCTCCGGAGGTCCTGCCTAATGACCTCCTGGATCAAGGCCGGTGGCGACTCTGCAAACCGTGCCTCGCATCCTCCACTGAAAGTGAAGAAAGCCTGGCCAGCGAAACTCCACCCAGCCCCTGCTCCCTGCGGGCAATGTCTTTATCCACATCCAGTGCGTCTTGGAGTTTCGGACACTCTTCCCAAGAAACATGAGGCGCACTGGATATGGATTAGAATCTGACTCCAAAAGGCTCAATTTCTATCCATATCCAGTGCGCCTCGGCCTTGCGGCGCCCCTTCCAAGAAAGTCCAAGACGCACTGGATACGGATATAAATATTGCCCGCACTCCCCGCTGACAGAGACAGGCGTCGAACTGGGCTGGGCCCCTCTCCAGGCCGGCCTCCTCCGAGACCCCCCCCCATTCTCCTCCACGCGGGCCCTCCCCGCCCTCTCTGCGCGGGCGGCGGCCCCGCCCTGCTGCAGCATCATCATCAGCATGGACCCGCCGCTCTGCTCCAGGGCGAGCCCTGCCCGACCGCGGCGCGGCGGGCGTCGTGCCGCGCGCGGTGCAGGAACGCCGGCCGCCGTTCTGACGCGCGCAGAGGCACCTGCGCGACCGCGATCAGCGGGGCTGCTTCTGTTGAGAGCGTGCGAGGGCAATACAATGGCGTTCCGTGCAATCCAGTGCAGCTCGTAGCATGGCACACAGCACAGCAGGGCCAGGCAAGCGCTGCCTAGCGCATCATGACGTTGTTGTGCACTGCGTTGGATGCCAACTTATGTATAAAACAGACATCGCAGGACATATAATGGTATAGCGTGTCATGACGTAGTATATGTAAGTTTGCGCAACGTTTCAGGCAAGCAAACATGAGATGGCATGACATGGCATTACAACACATAGCGTACAAGCATAGCATACTGATACATCGCGGAGTGAAACCTCAGCACGACAGCGCATGCAAAGACATTGCTCTGCGAGGCGCTGGCGTAGCAGCATGCGATTGCATAGTATGACAGTGTTGCATGGTATGGCGTAGCATGGCATCGCATGGCATACCACACTTTTGTTTGTTGCTCTGAGGCTGGTCGAACTGGAAATCGCAGAGGGGCAATGAGTCTGTGGCCACACCCGCGCTAAAGAGGGCCCAGACGAGACCGCCAACTCGACGGCATGTGGGCCGTGCACCACTAGCCCAGCTACACATCCAAGTCGCAAGGGAAGTAGCCAGCATCGGCCCCGAATCGTGCTTCCAATTACGGCGGGACGCCGAGACGACAAGGACGAACACGACCTGGCCGCGAATTAAAGTGTGTTAGCGCGAGACAACATGAGGTGTAGCGGATACCGACAATGAAGGCAGGCGTAGTCCAAGCCTGAACCCTCGAATCTCAAACTCCCACACCTCACTCCGCCCGTCCCCGGCCAGGCCCACCCCCGGGCCCGGCATCGATGTGTAACGCCCTCCTGACTTGGGCACGAAGGCACATGCACAGGATCGGCCTGTCCAGAAGGACGGCCCGTCTGGGCATGGATCCGCCAGCGGACCAACCTCGGTTTCTAAGACGGCGCAGCCGTCAAGGTGTTCCTCACAAGCCCTGGACGGGGGAGGAGAACGCCCGCCCACAGCGCGCGCGTGCGGAGCGCAGCGGGGCGCCACGCGCGGCGCGTGCACTCGATGAAGGCAGGAGAAAGGCCCTACAAAAGCACGGCGGTTGGACTGGAGCCCAGGATGCACTTTGGATCCCTGTGTGGTTCAAGACCGTGAGAGCTACCCGGAGAAGAGATGCACCTCCGAATTCTGTTCGGCACGCCCGACATGGGTAATAAAAAGAAGTTGGTGCGATGCCAAGCCGCGCACCATGTCCCCGATCGGCAGCGGCCGCTGTCGGGCAGGCGACTTGTCGACTCAGATGGACAATGCCCGTGGCGGCACCGACAGTGAGTTCTGTTGACCAATTCACGGGACCGCTCGCGGGATTCTGTGGCCTGTCCGTGACCTCTCCAGGCTAGAGAGCCCCAAGACGGCCCCAGAGGGTCACGAAACGCTCTCGCAACTTCTGTGGTACCAGCCTCGCACTCAGAACCGACTTCTTGATCGATTGCATGCCCATCTGGCCCGTGCGCTCCTCATAGCGCTGCACCAGTGTCTCCCCAGACACGGTGCCTTCATCGAGCCGTTCTCCTGGGTGGTGGGGTACTGGATCGACTCCAGACGGAACGCTGTTCACGATGTCCTGCGCATTGTCGCTGCACGTCAGTACCAAGATGCAATGCAGGGTAGCGCTCACACGCTGATCCTCTTCATTTAGATCCCCCACCTTCGACCTTCGCAGCGTCCCCCATCAGCTCGACCACGTGCGGGCCCACTGCCATGTAGTAGGCTGCCAGCTCCAGTTCCCCCAGGCAATGCCATCCTTGCACTCCGCGTTCTCGTCGAGCTCTCCTGAGAACTCGTCGGGCTTGCTTCGCAGATTCGTGCCCCCCCCACAGCTCGGGACGGCACTGCGCTGCTCTTCCTCTGCACTCATGCGCTGCGCAGCGCCTGCTGCGCTGCCTGCTGGTGCTGTTCGGGCGTTGGCTTCGCGGGCCTGGCTCCCCGGCTCCCGAGTCCGCTCCCTCTGCTGGGAAGCCCCCCTCCGCCCGTTGCCACGATCCGCTGCAGCGCGGTTCTTCCGCCGTGGCCACCGCGGCGCGCGAGAGCGGGAGCGTGGCCGCGGGCACGACCGGGCTCCGCTGCCAGGCGGAAGGGCGGTAGCCTTGGATTCCATGTTCCCTTTGGACCAAGCCGTTAACCGTCCATCCAAGTCAGTCCGTACGCCGCGAAGCCGGGCACGCGGACGGAAACAAGTGTACCTGTGCTTCTCCTTCCTCGAGGGGTGGACGACGCGCAGGAAGCTGAGGAGGAGGAGGAGGAGGAGGAGGAGGAGGAGGGCACTGCCACAAGAGAGGTCCAATCCCACGAGGCCCCAAGAGGCCACCAAGAGGCTCCCACTGACCCGACGACACCCAAGCGGTTTCCAAGATTTGTGGTTGCTTTTGCAATTCAGCCGCCAAGCCTGTTTCCACAGCCCAGGGCGGGGACCTGGACTGAGGGCGGCACCTCCGCGAAAAGAGGTGCCGCCGAAATGCCCCCTAGAGACCCCGCGAAGCAACGTCGTCCACGTCAGCGTCGTCGCCGCCGCCGACGCCGCCGTCGTCCTCGTCGTCCGCCGTCGTCATCGTCGTCGTCAGGGTCGGCGGCAACGGCTTGACGGCCTGCCCGATCATGTCTATGCACGTTTCTCCTTCCTCGAGAGGTGGACGACGCGCAGGAGGAGGCGAAGCAGGAGGAGGCGAAGGAGGCGAAGGAGAAGGAGGAGGCGAAGGAGGAGGAGGGCGGGACAGGGTCAGAATGAGGCAAAACAGGGCTGGGCACCGCCGGGGGCGCATGACCCGCAGCGGGCGGCCAGCGACAGGCCACCTCCCGAGGGAAGGTGCGCGCAGCGGTTCGCGGCAGGGTACGCCAGCACACCACTCCAAAGGAACGCAGCACGCGAGAAGAGGAGGAGGAGGGAGGGATGGAGGGATGGAGGGATGCAGGGATGGAGGGATGGAGGGATAGACGAGGAGGAGGAGGAGGAGGAGGAGGAGGAGGAGGAGGAGGCCGCGACGCCTTCGTCGGCCTGCTCGCGGCTGACGCCGGCTGCGTCGAGCCCGACCGGGAGCACGCCGATGCTGAACTCGTGGGCGGCCTGCGCGAAAGCCTGCCGCACGCACACAGGGCGGGCCGGGCCACAGGACGCCAGCAGCGGCGCCCTCCTCCTCCTCCTCCTCCTCCTCCTTCCTCCCTCCTCCTCCTCCTCCCCTACTCTTTCTTTCTTTACTCTTCTCTCCTCCTCCTCCTGCTCCATCCCTCCATCACTCCATCCGCTCCATCCCTCCATCCCTCCATCCCTCTCCCTCCCTCTCCTCCTTCCATCCCCTCCCTCCCCCTGCATCCCTCCTTCTCCTCCTCGTTCCGCACGTTCTGTTCCTCAATCCCTCGTCTGTGCATGCGCACTGTGCCCCCCCTCGTCGCACAACCGGACGTGTCGGTAGGGCGGGCCGGGCGTTTCGCCTGACTATTCGCAACCGATTACGATCCTGAAGCTCGAAATTTCCAACCCGTCATCTCCTCCACCACATTCTCCGCATCATCATCCGTGGCGGTCGGTGCTGTCGTGGGGCCCTCCCGGGTCGTCTTGGTAACCTCTTGGGGCCCAGGAGGGGCCCTTGAGGGCGCTCCGTGGCTCTGCTGAGGCCCTACAGGCGGGGCGTTGACCTAAGGAACCCCAACTAAGGAGCGAGGCTCCCTTTTTCCATAAGCTAAATTTCGATTTCCTTTCGAAAGCATAAGGAAAGCCTGAGGCAAGCTGTGAAACACTTGAGGAACGCGGAGCCCCTCCCCAACCAAGAGGGTTCCTTCTTCAGGGCCCCGACTGTGTTGGGACAATCGTGTTTGGAGCAGCGAAGAAGCACTGCAGTCGTTTAAAAATGTCTACTGGTTTCGGTATAGGGGTCCGCTTGGGCTCCTCTTGAGGCCTCTTCGAGCCCTCTGGGCCATCTGGGCCCACCTGGGACCATCTGGGGCCATCTGGGGGCCATCCTGGGGCCATCCTGGGGCCATCCTCGGATCGGCAGGGAGCCCCTCCTGGGACTTGTTGGAGGGCACTGGGTTCATCTTCGGGGCTGCCCACCGGGGCTTCCTAGAAGAGCTCGGGGGAGGCGCAGGGGAGGCACTGGGATTGGGGGGGGGGGGAGGGGGGGGGGTGGTGGGGGGGGGGGGGCACTTCTCAGTGTAGTCGGGGTGCCCCCGGGGGAGGGATGGGGGGCGGCCCTCGAGGTCCCAGAGCCCACGGCGCCTGGCTTGCGCGCACTGGAGGAACCGCGAACGGTCACGCTGACGGAGGGCGGCCCCGTCCTCAAATGGGGCTATCGCTCGGGACTGTTCTCGAGATGTAGGGCCATGTGTGCAGGGTTGGGCAAGAGCTACACGAGTTGAGGGCGGCCTCCGTTCAAAAAGAGGCTCTCGCTAACATTTCCTGGAGCATTATGATCGCATGTCGAAGGTTGGGAGGGTGAGATCGAAATGAAGCGGAGAGACCCCCCCCGGAAATCGGCGGCGGTGTCGGGTTCGTGTCGTGCGTGCGGGCGAGGCGAAGCTGCGCGGGCGGGCAAAAGGGGTAACTCCGCTGTGGCTACGGCGGGTCAAGTCAAAAGACAGCTCCTCCGATGGGCCCGCGTGGCCAGGGGTGTCCCGCCGTGGCTGCTCGTCGTGGTGTCTCGTCGGTGTCCCATCGGAGTCTCGTCGGTGCCCCGTCGGTGTCCCGCTGGTGTCCAGCATGCTTTCTCGCCAGCATCGCCAGTGCGTTAGCCCATTGCCATCACGCATTGTCGTCAGCATCGTCGTCCTGCATCGTCGCCAACTGGCGCATCACCAGCATCGCCACCATCACAATCATCGCAGTTGTCCTCCGTTGGTTCTTTCATCCCCCCAACCTCCTTATCACCCGAAGGAAGTTCGTGTACAGTCGAGGCGTTGACCTAAGGAACCCTAAATAAGGAACGAGGCCCTATTTTCCATAAGTTGAACTTCGATTTCGTATCGAAAACCTAAGGAAAATCTAAGACAAGCTGCGAAACAATTAAGGAACACGGAGCCCCTCCCCAACGAAAAGGGTTCCTTCTTCAGGGCCCCGACTGTAGGTGTAGATTGACAGAGGCCGAATGTGCGGCTATCGCCCGAATGGCAGGCACATGTGGCGTTCGTCTCCCAGAAAGTCGCCTCCCGCAGTGAATCGGAATGCTTGTAGGGACTGACTTGGAAGTGCCTCGAACTCCTCCGCCTCTTCCTCCTCCTCCTGCTCCTCCTCCTCCTGCTCCTCCTGTTCCTCCTGCTCCTCCTGCTCCTCCTCCTCCTCCTCCTCCTCCTGCTCCTCCTCCGCCTCCATCGCGGATAAGGCTCAAGGCTTCAGGCTTCTTATAGGATCCCTGCGCTCAGGGCTCCGGGTGTCTTGAAGGATGCCATGGCTCGCCCCACGGAGACGGCTGTGGCCGAGCGATACGATGCGATGTTTGACGCGAGCGCACAAAAGCAAGGCATGCTGGAAACAGCATGCAGAAAGTGTAACCCCAAGTGGCGATGTAAAGGTTAAATGTCTCGAGGCTTGGCGGGGGACCTGGCGAAATAGGTGGCAGGGCGGGTGGCGACGAAGGCAACCAGTTTGGACACGAGGGGGAAATGCGCGGGGCCGACCTTTGCACCGAAAACGCTTGAACCAAAATCCGCAAGAAGGAAAGGTGCTCTGGACGGACACAGACCTTGGACCCCAGGGCTGCCCTCGGGCCCCGCCGCTCCTCATCCCGAGCTGCTTCTTGACAGCCTCGGGGCCCGTGCGAGGAGCAACGATAGGGAAGGACTGGCCCAAGGGGGGGGGGGCATCGGCCTAGAATCGGTGATACATCACCGACAGGTCGGCGAAACGCCCCCGACACACATCCACACGGCTCTGGGCGGGGAGGGCTATCCGGCCCCAATCGGCGATGAATGGGCGATTCAGGTCGATGCATCCCCCCCGAGCCCATCCCCCCCGATCGTTGCCCTTGACCGTGGAAGACCACAGGAGCCCGAGAAACGGCCAGAAACCTGCAAGACCCGTTTCCCAGACATCCGACGCCTCGACTGTTTCAGAGCGGGGGTCACGGAAATCCCCTCGCCTTTCCCAGGACCGCCTTTCCCAGGACCGCCTTTCCATCCCGAGTCCCGAGTCGCTTTCTGACGGCCCTTGGGCCCGGCGAAGGCACGGGGAGGCCGAAAACAGGCCAAAACCTGCCGTCGTGTTTGCGTTCACGGCGCGAGCATGCCTGGGCTTTGTCCACGGCGACCGACAAAGATCGGCGGCGCCAGCCCAAGGGGGGAGCGAGAAGGGGTGGGCCCTCTCAGAAGGCTCGAAAGTCCTCCAGCCTTCTGAAAGAACTTCTCGAAGCCTTCCCTGAAGACGCCGAAAACCTCCCAGAGGGCCCGAGGGTTTCTGAGAAGCCCCGCCGCCTTCTGAGAGGGCCTTCTCCTTCTCGTTTTCCCTGTTGGTAGGCGGATCCCTCAAGCTCTCCGCCGCCTCTGGCGGTGCGCCTTGCGGGCAGGAAGGCGGCAAAGCCACGAGAAAGCGCGGCATCGACAGCGCAGCTCCGCACACGTGACGCGTGTTGACGAGCGGGAGCACAGCGAGGCCCCCGGAGAGCGAGGGGGGCGGACAGAAAACATGCAAATGCGGATAGATCGCGCCACGCCGCCCGCACCGCCGAGCGGGGGCGGGCCGCCGGCGCCGCCGGACCCCCGAGCCTGCCACAGCTCCGCCTCCTCGTCCCCGCCCAGCACGCAGTGGAGATTGCGCTCCAGGAGGAACGGGTCCTGGGGCTCGGCGGCCGCGCGACGAGGGGGGGAGATGAGAGGGGAGAGGGGGAGGAAGGGGCGAGGGAGAGGGAGAGGGGAGGCTGGTGGAGGAGGGGAGGAGGAGGGAGGAGAAGGAAGAGAACGGGAGAGGGGAGGGACGAGGAGGAGGAAAGGGAGGAGGAGGAGGAGGAGGAGGAGGAGGAGGAGACGTGGACGAGGAGGAGGAGGAGAAGACGTGGACGAGGGGAGGAGGAGGAGGAAGAGGAGGAGGGGGCGGGGAAGGACAGAGAGAAAGAGAGACAAGAAGGAGGAAAAGGAAGAGGAGGAAGAGATAGTAAGTCTGAGACCTATAAGACAGATACCAACTTCGTCAACACACTCGAGAGGGAAAGGAGGAGGAAGAGGAGGAGGAGGAGGAGGCGGAGGAGGAGGAGGGCATGGGGGAGGAAGAGAAACGGGAAGACCCCACCTACATGGCGCAACAAGAAAACGGGCCGACCGTGACCGCACCCTCCGCGGGAGGGAGTTCATCCCCGAGCAGCCTTCGGTTCCCGCTCTTGTGGGGCCCACTGAAAGGCCTGCATGCAGCTGCCAGCAAGCGCGCGCACGCGCTCCCCCCCTGTCGGGATGGTCAAATCATCACTCGCGCCACCCGGGCCGCGGCCCCCCCGCCACCTGCCTCGCCTGCGACCGAAGGGATGTGTTTCCCGTTGCTGCGCTCACGCGGCCCCTCTTCAAAGGGGGAGGCGCCCTGCGTCGCGTCCGCGGGGCTCTCGCTCCGCGACGCGACTGGCGGGGCATCGCCCCGCGACTAACATGGCCACTCGCTGCGCGACCGGGGTCTGCCTCGGCGCGGCCCTCGCTGCGCGATTGGTGGGAGGGCTCGCTGAGCAACGGGGGGGGCGCCTCGCTGCGCGACTGGGCACTGCTCGCGCGGGCGGGGGGGCCCGCGCGGGGGCGGCGCCGCTGCGTCGCGGCGGCGGGGGTCTCGATGCGCCGCTGGTGGGAAGTCTCGCTCCGCGACGGGGGCGGCACTTCGCTGCGAGGCTGGGCACGCACGTGCGGGCGATTGTCTCGCGCGGGGGAGTGGCGTCGCATCGGCGGGGGCTGCGTCCCACGATAGGTGGCGCCTCGACGTCCTGGAGGCCGGAATCCGTCCCGAAATGTGCACGATGAAAATCCGATGGGATCCCTCGAGGAAGTCTCGAGGACCCCCGAAGACATGATCCGGCGTCCGCAAGACATCCAAAAGACCTCATCGAAAATTCCAGAATGCAAAAAGGGAATGTACAACATTGCGCAGAAGTGCCTTATGGTTCCCCTACGAATTCCTCTGGATTCGATCGGGTGTCCTCCAGATTCGTGAGGAAGCCTTTGAAGTACCTGAGGGGATCCTCCATACTTTCTAGGGGTCTCCAGGCGTGTGAGATGTTTCCCCGCCCCTGTACTCTCCCCGCGGGGTTCCAAAATGTAGAATCGAGAAGGGACGGGAGCTATCGGAGCCGGGTTCATCCAGGGCTCTCTCTCTCAGGGCTGCCTGGCGTCCCAAATAGCTTTCTTGACAGCCTCCGAGGCCTCCAAGACGGCCAAGATCCCACCAGCAGAACCCCAGGTTGCATCGCCCAAACAGCGCTCCGAAACGCACAGGATGGCCCCAATAAGTCCAGCAGCGTTCCAAGATGTCCCAGGAGGGCTCCAAGAGACCGCACAAGAGGACGTCCAGGGGCAAGAACAATGGCTGTGTTTCCGGCGTGAAAACATGTTAATGGTTCCCCCTTTTCTCCAGGACGCCGTGTCTCCAAGACGGCTCACGAGGCCCCGAATATTGTCACAGGACAGCCCAAAAGCCCCCAAGAGAACCCCAAGACAGCCCAAGAGGACCCAAAGGAGGGCCGAGCGACCCGCGAAGCGTGCCCCAAGGGAGGCAACGCATACTGACATGCCAGGCCTTTCCCCCCAGGTTCGCGCCCACGGCCCCTGACGTGATTCAGGGCGGCCCCGAGCAACGCCCAAGAAGCATCCCGGAGGACTCTCGCATTCATCCCAGGTCTCTGACCCACAACCCAGACACGGTGGCGAGAGTGGCCGAAGGCAACTGGATCACCCACCTAGCGACCTCCTCCACCTCCACGACGGCCACGGTGGACAGAGACACCCAACCAAACCTCGAGGTCTGGGCGGGGACCCCCCTTTGCATGTTATGTCTTCCCGTCATGGTTCCATTGTCCCTTCTCTTCCTTTCTCCACCTCCTCCTCCTCCTCCTCCTCCTCCTCCTCCTCCTCCTCCTCCTCCTCCTCCCCCTCCTCCTCCTCCTCCTCCTCCTCCCCCTCCTCCTCCTGGGACCGAAAGGGCTCGCGCTTCACCTTCCACTGCCATGTTCAGGCGCAGCAGCGCCAAGGACCAGTAGACCAGCTGCACGAACCTCCGGGCCAGCGCCGCAGCAAGCAGCCCAGCGCCGGTGGCGCTCGCCTGGCCGCCACGCGCGGCGCGCGGGCCGCGCCCGCCGCGCGGTCGACTCCCGGCGCCGCTCGGCGTTGGCGCGCGGGCGCCCGCTGCAACGCGACGCGGAGCTCGCGGCC